ATCAGGCGGTGGAAGTGACTCTGAGAGGCCCTCATCCTTGCATACGTTGATGGCAAATGGTACTTTTGGGTGCTTCTGTTCCACGAACGTTTCGATCGTTGATGCCGCCGGTGTGTGCCCCGAGGCGTCGAGGACCTCGCTGGCATCCATAAGCAGCTCCCCTTGTTCGTCAGCCTCTTGGGTTCTCGATCCAAGGAGCTTGCTTGCATACGTTGTGACACAATTATCAGTCGTGTGTCCGTACCGTCCACATTAAAGCAGCGGGGGGTCTTGCACTGGCGGCGTACATGCCTCACTCTATTACACCTGAGGCATAGAGGTGGACGTCCTGGCACAAGTAGGAGGCACTGGTATCACAAAATCTTCAGGAGATGTGGCCCCTTCTCAATCGTGGTTCCGTCGCGAAGTGTGATGTTGACTTCTCTATTTGAAGCGCCCATATGTTCCATGCCGGGCCATCTCCATTTCTCCCGGCTTATGCTCCGCACGGTTCCGTAGGCACGCAGGGCCTCAGCGACACGTCGATCTTCAAGATGGTCTGGTAGCCAATGGTTTTAATGTTGATGTCGCGAGTGTCTGAGTTTATAACCAGACATTTTCGTCCTTTCACGAGAAGTACTTTCGTTGACACAGCTTCGCTATCGCGAGCGCGTTTGTGCAGGTGACCATCCAAATGTGACTTATCTGATATTGTCCGGTTGCCTCTACGTCTTGGAGATATATTACGTCTTTAAGGGCATCGTGAAAGTCTGGCGCTGAGTAAGGCCTAGCGATTATGTCGGCATAAAGGAAGACGGAGTTTAGAACCAGGTTGACGGTTTATCCAGGGGACCAGGGTTTATCCAGGGGACCAGGGGCCCGAATCTGGACACTTGGCGAAGACAACGGGGAGAAATCTGGCAGCCGTGATTGGCCAACTCCGCGCTTGACCTTGCCACCGGTCAATCAGAGCCGCCAGATTTCTCGCCGACTTTTTTGCCAAGTGTCCAGGTTAGGGCAAAGAATAATTAATCAGGGGGCGGGGGGCGGAAGGGTGGAGGGGCTGCGTGATTGTGCGCCAAAGGGTTGTGTAGTTTTTGTAAGGACATTCGTGGGTGTATTCGGCTCAGCCTGGAGTCTGTTGGGGGTGTGGAGGGTGCGTGTATGCATAAATAACTGCTAGCGGAGGCACGGCGGTTGAGGTGTTATCCGGCTGAAACCTTTTCTGCTATTCACGCTCAGCCGCTCTGACTCTCAGCTGCTGTTCGCTTTCAGCTATTCAGCTGTCAGCTCGACCGTGCACAAAGGCTGCCGCGGCAACAAGATGGAACGCCGCGAGGACAGCGATTTTCCCTTCCGCTCCTCCGTTTTGTCAGTATTTTTGCAACAACCGTCCGGATTACGACATCGAACAACAATACTGGACGGCTCTTGTGACCTTACTTGTTGCCTACGAGACGCCTTCTAGGCAGAGTAGTATACGGCTGCAGGCGCAACTGCGCTCCCGAATGGTTGTGAGGGTTCGGGTGGGCTAGTTCTTACGCTGCTTTGTTACACACTGTATCAAGGAACAAAGCGATGCGCGGCTAGAGCGAACGAAAGCGCTGCATACAGTCGGTGTTGCAAGCTTGCAAGGATCGTACCTTCGTGAATCAATCAAATATTGCGGAACATTTGCTCCAACAAAGACATTGACGAATATATGGAGATCATAGACGACACGAAGCCGGGAGTATAGTCGCTGGGAGCTTCCCGTTCTGGCACTGAACAACCACGTAACCACTAAAGCGAAAAAATTTGCATCTTTTACTTTCGACATTGTTTATTTGTCACAAAGGGCAGGAAGCTCATCTCCTTCCTTTGAAATGTTGCGGTTCCGCCGCGTAATCGCGAGGCGAAAATTAGAATATTTCCCGATCTGCAGCCACGAGCGGCGGCCATGAGAAACACGCGGCATGACGTCAATGGGGGTCTTGTAAAAAAATAGGAAGTTGTGCAAACACCTGCTCGATAAAAGGTAATTTTTCTGTAAATCTTGTCGTTTCAGCATAAATACAAATGCGTAAAAAACCTGGTATCATCAGCAAACTTTTATTACACGGAGTTTTACTGGCGCCATCTATCCGATGTCAACAAAACCGTCAGCTCTATCTGCTGCCGCGAACAGCCACCAGAAGCCGGAGGGGGATGGGGCAGAGCCGGACGGGGATGGCCGGACCCGGATGAGACTTTCCTCCTTTCACCATATTGTTCGCGCTGTGCCTGCAAGCACGTGGTCACGCGGTCGCGAGCGGATGAGTTCTTGCTGCTCACTGATGGCTCTAAACAGAGAGCTTCACCGGAACTCCGCACGTCCCCCATTGACGTCACAGCGCACGCAACTCGAAAGATGATGAAAGAGTTGAGAGGTGCCGAAAACCTCAATATTCGTCCATTTTTAAAATAAAAACTAGGACATGCAGGCAGAATCGGTTTTTTATTTTTGTTCTTTACTTCAGAGAGGTCGAGACACCAACTCCCAAATTATTTAATCAAAGCATTGAAATTGTTGCACAGCTCCTTTAAAGAAAAACAGCTGTGCATGAAAGCTGTTTTGCACGCTGTGCAAACTCTATTCAAGCTATCCCAGCCTTGAATAGAGTTAATGCAAGCAGCACACACCGTGCGTAACGTTGCTATGAACGAATCTATGAATTATTCAGTTGCCTGCACAGGTTTTATGCGATAACAATGTATTCCAAAATGCAAAAGCACGGCCCAACATCCGGCGCTTTGAACTGGATAAAAAGAAAATAAAAAAAATAAACAGGAAAGCTGACAGTGACGCATCCTCTCCAAAATAACAGAGAAAGAAAGCAGCAGCAAAGAAGCGTAACAAACGTACTCTTTTTCCTGTTGTTGTCCTTTTGTGCATTTCTGAACGCATTTCATCGGAATTCTATGACTACTTCAATCCAACGCCTGTTCTGATTCCTACGTAAAGTAACCTCTTATTTTTAAAATAAAATATAAAGAAATAGAAACATATATAGTAATCACGGAGAAGTTCACGGAATTTGTTTTGTCAGTTTTGTTGCTTTTATTTCAGTGTATAGACTGACACGCTGTTTACAAACAAGCCCGTGTTTGCCCACACTAGCTGCGGGCACTGCACGTGCGTAGAAACCGAATTCGCGTGAAGTGAAGCGTCTGCGCATGCGCAGGGCTGCCGACAGCGCCACCGCAGCAGCGTGACGTCAGGGCCGCGTGTTGGTCTATAGGTAACTAGTACACTCTAAAAACAAAACACACACACACAAAAAAAAATCGTTCTTTAAAGGTTTTTCGACGCCTCAAGAAATCTTTGGACTCATGAAGAACGGTTTCGCGCACCCTCGTGTACGCAGTCCTTGTGTCTCGGGCCACGTACGGAGCTGTGTGCTTCCAACTGACAAAGACCCAAGTCGAAAAACTGGAGACCCTCTACCGAGCCGCCCTTCGGGTGATCACCGGCTTGCCTCGCCACACCCGAGTGGAAGAACTATATCGCTACGGAAGACTTCCACCCCTACGGTTCATTATACAAGATTGCCGCGAGGGAACCCAGGACCGCCGTCTCCTCACTCTTCAGGGGCAGCGCCTCCTTCTCTCAGACGACCCCACCATGGCGGCCATTTTAGACGAGGTTCCACCGCACGTGCCGCCGTGGATGGACTTCCCCGTCACGAACGGCAGACCACTCAGCCGGAAGACCAACGCCCAACGCTATGGGCCGCAGCGCGCCACTATCGCCCGCGCACTCAACGAGCCCTCAACGGACCCCACGGAGATGCGGCTTTTTACGGACGCATCCTGGAATCCGAACACTCAGATCGCTGCCGTTGTGGCGAGAACCGAAGACGGCTATCATCGCCTACAAAATTACCACCTAAACGAGACACCCTCCACCACCGAAATGGAGCTCCGGGCGCTTCAAGTCGGTGTAAATTGGATTCTCACAGACCACCGAATTGTGAACGAGCAAACCAAGACGGTCACGATCTGCACTGACAGTTCCACAGCTACCCACGCCTTAATCGGTCCTCCCAGAGTCGGAACCACGGAGTACGCCATAAAAAGCGGCTGCAACATAATAAAAGCACAAAAAGACGTCGCAGTGAAAATCCAGTGGGTGCCTGGGCACTCCGGTCAAGCGGACAACGAGGCCGCGCACGACCTGGCGAGCGAGGCTTGCACTTCTCGCCGCTCGCAGGGAGTGCCGATCTACCGTCCATCGCTTGACCACAGCCCGGAGGAAGAACGACGACGACGGAAGCAAATTCGGAAAAACCGGTTGAAAGATCATGTACCACCCCTCGAGAATCCATTGCCTAAAGGTCTACCTCGGGGGGCCCAAGTGCTTGTTGTTAAAGCGCGAACGGGCTTCGCTATCACAGAAGACATGGTGGCGAGGTGGCGGTACAACCAACTGTGCAATCAAGAAGGCGATCCCCCACCACCTCCAATCACACGTTGCAGCAGCTGCTCCGCAGATCAAGCACCGACCATCAGACATCTCATCTGGGAATGTGACGGACTAAAAGACGTCAGAGAGAAGCACCGACCACCAGGTGTGACCTCCTACGAGGGGTGGGTTACTCCGGTACAGGACCAAAAAACGACCTTGCTCGCACTGTGGAGCTTCGCTTGTGAAGCCTCCATAGTGCGCCGCCCCTAACTCGTAACACCCCTTTAGCCCCTTCCCAAACAGGCCAAGTGCCACCCTTTTTCGGAATAAATTTGTTACTACTACTACGCCTCAAGTACTATCGCCCCCTGGCGCACTAAAAAGGCAATTTAAAAAAAAAAAGACTCTTTCGCATGAAAAAGAAAAAAAAAAAGAGAACAGAAAAGAAAGAAAAAAAAAAAAAACGGAGCTTAAAAGTACTTTTTATAGGGTTTTCCCGAAAAACCCTTTTAAGGGGTGGTTAAAAGAACTTTTAAAATGCGGAATAGGGACAAGCCGAAGAGTTCCTAAGGGTTATTTTACGACCAGATTATTTTTAAGGAATCCCTATCGCCAAAAGTCCCATGAGCATATCTGCTTCGCGCACCTTGAGAACGGATATCTCGCACATTTCTACATTCTCAACAACGGCGTCCCTGCAATTTTCAGTTCTATACCAGTCTTCTGCGGACGTTTCTGTGCACCGTTCACCCCCGCAAAGCCGCAGGTGCACGCTGCTCGGACGTTATACAAAAGACACGGCATTCGCTGGAGACACGGTGACAGAAGTATGTGCGGACGTGCCTCGAGCGTGTTGAAATTATGTTCGCTTCGCACATACGCGTGCCTCGCGTCGAACGTGTCTATAAAGACAGTTTTCGTATCAGCAATGTGACCACGGACCCCGTGCAAGGAAGAAAACACACAACAGACAGTGTTTAAAAACTGGATTTTTTTTTTTTTTTTGCACGATGCATAAAGCTACGGTTTTAAACATTCGAGAAACACATTCAAAACGAAAGCGTGCTTATGTATAGACCCTTGCATCGCCTGTCACCCGGGCGAAAAATGCCGAGTCACTCAGCTGTGAACGCATGCGCAGGGTCTTATATACTCCACAGGGGAGCGACAAACAGCGCATGCTCAGAAAGCGTTCCACAACCTAGCAGACAAAGATGACAGAGCGCAGAAAGCGATTTGTGTAAAGCTCTATAAAGCAAGCATAACGTGAACGAGACGTGTCCGCAGGTACTGCTGTTATCTTCAGCGAACACCCTCTCTTCTGTATGATGTGTGAGCGCGGTGCGTCTTTAGGGGTGAACGGAGAGCAATCATCGTGCCGCTCCTAACTCGGAGGCACGCTCGGAGGCGAGCGTGGATCCATTCGGTCGTTGTGCACGCGGGCAGATGCGTATAGGGAGTATTCACTAGACGCCATATTTGTGGGTGCTGTTTAGAGCGCATGCTCAGAACGAGCTCACATCAATAGGCTGCTAAGACCGGCACTCTTGCTGGTGCGGAATGCACATTGCAAAAGGACTGTGGAAGCTCGCCATCAGCACGCTCTCAGCATTCGCGCACACAGCTATGGCCGCCAGTGAATACCCCCTATACGGCGGTCGGTGTCTACGATTGCTCGCCTGTAAGTGAAAGAGCCACTTGGCGCGTGTCAGTGAGGCAACCTTCGGGGAGGGATGCGTAACCCAACGGCCACAGCTGCGATCCGGAAGCAGCGCGTTCCTCTCGAGGTTTGCCTCACGCCGGCTCTGGCGAAAGCTGCATGCGCTTTCGTCTGACCCCGGCGGTGGTGCAAACGGCGCGTCGAATGAGATCGTGCGCGGCACGGCGCATAACACCACGACGCCATGAGCCTTTCTTTAAGTGCGCGGATTTTAAAGTTACGCTAGTGTAAAGTGCGAAAGAGCCGTTAAGAACGTTGTCGACGGGACGAAAGTTACCTGGGGGACGCTTGCCGAAAAACCTTGCTTGCTGTATACGGGTGGGATTCACTGAACGTCATATTTGAGTGCAATGTTTAGAGCGCATGCTCGGAAAGAGCTTACATTAATAGGCTGCTGTGGCCAGCGATCTTGATGGTGCGGAATGCACGTTGCGAAACAACTGTGGAAGCTCGCCGTCAGCACGCGCTCAGCAGTCGCGCGGACAGTCTTTTGCAGACTGTCTTTTGTATGCTGTATGCTGGACTACCTGAACAGTTCAGCAGTGCAAGAACTGACGCATTCGATTCATCAGGAAGTTGCACGGCCGCTGCACTGGCGTGTTCGATTCACCCCAGTTCTGTATGAGTTCAGACCCAGTTCCTCAAAACCTTTCACCGGCTTCCGAGCCAGTTCAGCGCAGTGTTGTACGGAACGTCTTTCCAAGGAACGGCGTTCCTGGAACGCGTTCCTTTTAGGAGGAACGAAGAAACGCCGCCGTTTTATTTTGCATCGCTGGAACTGGAACGGGAACGCGTTACATTTTTACTGGAACGGAAAGAGTAACGGCGTTCCTTTTTTTTGTTTAGTGGGGTCATTTTCATTCTATTTTTACGCGGGAAATTTTAAAAGTATAAAAGCTATATCTTTACGAAAATATTGTTTTTAACTCGTTCACGTTTTGGTTACTTATTTTATGACTTATATTGTGTGGTACTCGTTTAGTAAAAGTCGGTTGCTGGAAACTTAGTAAGCATCAATGTTTTTTTTTTTTTTTTTTTTTTTAAGTGCCCGAGACTGCGGTACAAATACCAAAACGTTTAGTCGCACGAAAAGACACGAAGAGGGACGTTTCAACTCAGCTACGTTATTTGCTTCCACGAATCCTCATACACCCAGAAATCTAAGGCCAACTACAGCCATTTCTGAACTTTCATAAAGAGACCTACAGTTACAAAAAAATCACAGGTTACTATACATCGAACGCACTTTTGTTTCCCGAACATTGGTCACTTAAACGATACACAGAAATTAACCTTTAATCCTTCTCCCTTTGTCCCCCACCTTCAAACTGAACAACGAATCCAACCTTCACAAAGAACTACTTGTAGTTTTCAAGACTGACCTTCCAAAAGCATACCCTCTCCTTCACTTGCTAGTCTTGAGGACAGCAACATCGAGGAGCAACTGCTGTTAAGTTCGAACAAGGGACTTTGTTAGATTGAAACGTGTCAGGTTGTTGTAAAACGCTCGTGCAATGTGGGGTAACAGTAGATTTGGCTTGTCTGAATCGTTCACCACAAACATGAATCTGGTTAAAAGCTGGGATTTTTAAACTTGAATATATCAACAAATAAAACCTTGATTCCGCTTGTTTTCTTCTCCTGGTGCCCCTCCATCACGACATAAAAATTCGTATGTTCCCATTTGATGGGATAGAAAAAAAAAAGAAGAAGAAAGCTTTGCTTGATCTAACCAAATATGGTAATTAGAAAAATACAAATGTAAGGTACATGTAACGGAACGTTCCATTTTTTAAACTGTAACGGGAACGAGTTCCTTTTCTCACAGGTGGAACTTGTAACGGGAACGCGTTCCCAAAATTCAGAAGGAACGAGGAACGAGCTTTCGTTCCTTTTTTTTGAGGAACGTGTACAACGCTGGTTCAGCGTTCGTGCAGAAGCAGACGACGAGTGCAGGCGGCGATAACAGACGACACTTCTCGTCCGTATCTGCTCGCGGTGCCATTTTCTCGGAGTCCTTGTTCAAATGTCTGCGATGTTTAACAAGAACGCCGAGACGAAGGTTACATTTCCTTTAATTGATGAAAATATTGTACCCGTGGTGGACGCAGAAGCGGGAGCCTAACGGAGGGTAGAAATTAGCTCGAATATATGATAGTCCGAAAGCGTGTTACGCCTGCTCGCGCGGGTTTGGCTCCCCGTGGTAAGTGTTGAAAGATTGGCTTACGTAACCTGTTTGTTTTTGATGCTAACCGAGTATTCAGAGTGTTTATATTCTTCCTAAAACACAAAGTAAACGTTTCACACTTTTGAAAATCCCCCATCTTCAGTAGCTCTTAGCTGCAGATTGACGACTGGGATACAATGCAGAAGTTCGCGATTTAGTACATTGGCACCCGCATGTCCCTGCAGCTGAGCATAGTACTGCATGCTTTGTCCGCTGGTGCCTGTAAACGCCCAATAACGGACCTAAAAGAAAAAAAAGAAACGCCGGGAATCGGCATTGCCGGCGCTTGGTGCAGTTTCGCGCGAATATCTCTTGAGAGTCAGAATAGGCGCTTCAGTGCTTACGCGCATTTCACGCATACAATTCAGCGTCAGTTCCAATAACAAAATTTCATTGTCAAGGTTGATGCTCCGGGTTATACGCTCATCTTAATACACTGTTAGTTTCGACCACGAACTTCTAGTGGCGCCAATAAGATGCAGAAACCCGGTTTTCGCTTGTCATCGCACTGCGCGACACTGTTAGCGCGAACATGATTTCGGCTCGTTTTCGCATTTTTTTTTTTCAAAAACGTACTTACTGACGATCATCAAACTTTACCTCTTAGATTATTACCCCAGCTGAGCACTTTCCACCACAATAGTAGTTTCGATGGCAGGCATTCAATATTTAGAAAGAAAAAAAAAAGAAAAAAAAAATCTTCGATGGCTTGTTTGCGTTCCTTGTCATGGAGTGCATACTCTGCCGCGCAGTGCACGCACATTTCAAAGTACCTTTCAAACGCTGGATTATGTCGAAAGGGGTCAGAGTGGGGCTGCAACTTGTAACCTCGTCAGAGCATTAGCTACGATCATGCGGTTCCCGTGATGCCGAAGTGCATTGCGTAACACACTCGATCGTTCGGCTTCTCTTTCTGAGTGCCATTGTAACCTTTCTTGTTCACTCGTAAAAAGAATAAAGAAAAGATATATCGTATATGTCGACCTCGAATACCGCGATACCCATGTCGCCGCGCATCGCTGAATCCTTTGACCGCAGACGGAAACGAGCATTTAACGTGCGTCGGTCCGCAACCGGGAAACTCCAGCCTTGATTGCTTCCGATCGTCGTAGAACTGCACATCGACCCAGCGCACCGATCTAGAACACTTTTTCACAGTCGCGTCTCAAGAAAATACACAACGACATAAAAATATTCGGTCAATACGTTAAAAAAAAAAAAAAATAAGTACACAACTTATCCTCTCTTTTCGAGTCCCGTATCCAGTCGTTCCACAACAGTCCAATTCTGCAGCGAGAATACGCCGGAAGTTTTGTTTCTGACATTTTATAGACATTTTCAGTTTGTAAAATGATACCAAGAGGGCAGGTGTGGGTTCCTAACGGGGCCAAAAAACCGGGCGCAAATGGATCGCGCACCCTACAGCGCACGCTGGCACAAGAAACGTCCAACTACGTAATACATAGTAGCCACCAGTGCACATAAGTCACTGACCACGAAGCGATCGCTTAGAAAGTTGCAGTTTATATTGAGGTAGCGTTAAGAGAGATATAAGAAGGGCATAAATGCACTCCGGTTTTCGAATTGAAGGGTGGTTACGTGGCCGTGATGCCCTGTTCCTTTTCGTAACTAGCTTTCGCTGGAGCCGCGTGAGTTACTCGAAATTTTACCTTTTAGTTCGATTTATTTTAATTTAGTTAGTTGCCTCCTCCTATAAAGTTTGACGCGAGATTTTGATAGCATACTCA